AGCGCCGCCGCGCTTCCCAAGCGGCGCACTAGCGCAGTGCGCCACCGGGCCGGCCCCTTTTGCCCAATTCTAATGTGAGTAGCTTATCTTGTAATTGAGTTCTAGGTGTTCTTCACATATTCTTTTATGAGTCCCTTATCAGATGCATGTTTTGAAAATATTTTTCTCCAGTCCATGGCTTGCCTTTTCATTTCGTATTTTGTTTTTGTTTTTGTTTTTGTTTTTCAAAAGATGACCGGTAAGGGGATCTCAACCCTTGACTTGGTATTGTCAGCACCACGCTCTCCCAAGTGAGCCACGGGCTGGCCCTTCATCTCGTATTTTGAAGAGCAGAAGTTTTTAAATTTTTATGGAGTCCAATTTATTAATTTTTTCTTTCCTAGTTTATGATTTTTATGTCTTCTCTGAGAAATCTTTGCCTGACTCAGGATCATAAATATTTTCTCCTACCTTTTCTGCTAAATTTTTCTAGTCTTAGTGCTTATGTTTAGGCATCCAATCCATTTCAAGTTAACTTTTGCTATGGTGTGAGGTAGGGGGTCCAGGATCAGGTTTTTTGTGTGACTCTTTCCAGTTGTCCAGCACCACTTACTGAAAAGATTATCTTTTCTCCATTGACACATTCTGGCGCCTTTGTCAAAAATCAGTTGATCACCTGTGTGTGTTTGTCTGTTTCTGGACTCCCTATTCTGTTCGTTGACGTATTTGTCTGTTCTTTCACTGATACCACATTGTGTTGATAACTGTAGCTTTAAAGAAAGTCTTGAAATCAGAGTGTGCGTCTTTTTTGTTCTTTTGCAAAGTTATTTTGGCTATTTTAGGTCCTTTAGCTTTCACATAAATTTTATTTATTTATTTATTTTATTTTTTTTTTTTTTCCTTTTTGTCTTTTTTCGTGACCGGCAACGGATCGCAACCCTCAGTGTCGTGCCCGCACCAGACCGGGACCGGCAACGGGATCGCAACCCTCGGTGTTGTGCCCGCACCTCACTCAGCCAGTGAGCGGCCGGTCTGTATGTGGGATCCGAACATATGTATGTAGCAGTGCACCACTGGGCCGGCCCTATTATTATTTTTTTAAAGATGACCGGTAAGGGGATCTTAACCCTTGACTTGGTGTTGTCAGCACCACGCTCAGCCAGTGAGTGAACCGGCCATGCCTATATGGGATCCGAACCCGTGGCCTTGGTGTCATCAGCACCACTCTCTCCAGTGAGCCACGGGCCGGCCCTAGGTTTCCATATAAGTTTTAGAATTAGTTTGTCAATTTCTGGGGGGAAAGTGCCTCCTGGGGTTGTGATTGAAATATATTGAGTCTGTAGATCACTTTGAGAAGAATTGGCATCTTAATAATATTAAATCTTCTGCCCCATGAGTGTGGCGTATTTCTCCAGTATCTGTTTTTTATATGTATGAATATTTATTGATATGCTGGTGAAATTAAAAAATGACCAGAAGACTGGAAAGAGCTGAATTGCGTATCAATGAGGTTGATTACATTATAGCACATTCTTCATTAGAATACACTGAGGAGGGCTGGCCCGGTGGCACACTGGAGAGTGCACTGCTTGGGAGCGCGGTGGCGCTCCCGCCGAGGGTTCGGATCCCATGTGGAGACCGGTTCCCGCTCACTGGCTGAGCGCGGTGCGGGAGCAACACCGAGGGTTGCGATCCCGTTGCCAGTCCCCGGTACGGGCACGACACCGAGGGTTGTGATCCCGTTACCGGTCAGTAAAAAAGACAAAAAGGAAAAAAAAAAGAATACACTGAGGAGAACTGAAAAGATCTAAGGAGATTTCTATGTACACTGTGTATTAATCAGTTTCTGTTGCTTGTAACAAAATACACAGATCTGGGTGACTTATAAAGAAAACAACATTTATTGCTTACAGTTTCTGAGGCTGGGAAGTCCAAAGTCCATCTGGTGGTGACAACAGTGACCCAGGGGTCTCACATTGCAAGATGGTGGAAGCGGAGAGAGCAGAGACAATTCCTCATTCACTCTTCTTTTAAAGCCCTCAGAACCACATCCTGACCACCATTTTTAACCCATTCACTACTGCACGGTCCTGCAACCCAGTCACCTCCTCAAGGCTCCACCTTACAATTGCCATAATAGGATTTCCCACCCTCTTAACAGTCGCAGTGGGGGCCAGGTTTCCAATACATAAAACTTGGGAGACAAAAGTCAAGCTTCAGTGTGTCTTGGAGGGACATAATTCAATCCACTACACAAGGAAAACTAACATGCAGAATAGGATATATTAAGTTACCACTTGTAATTTTTTAAGTGGAGAGAAATACATATACATACAGAAACATAATGCACATATGCATGGACTCCATCTGGAAAGACATCTGAGACATGGTAACAGGTTGCTTGGGGAAGGGAATTGAAGGACTGGGGATAGACGTGAGGAAAATATGGAAGGAATTATTCTAGTCCAAGAAGAAAGTACTTTTTGAATTTTCGAATAAGAGCGTATTTGAAAGATAAGATATTATTGGTGGAGAGAGGACTGTTTAAAGTGCAGCAGGAGACCTCAGAATGAAAGGGAAGAAGTTTCTCACACACAAATAAAAATTCACATTCTTTTATCTAGTGTCTGTACTTTAAAACTTGGTGTTAACTACAGGTGTTTCCGCAGCAGTGTGCTGAGGGAAAAAGCAGCAGAGTTTGCAGTGGGACCCCCTGGTGTCCTCCCAGCTGCAGTGTTTCCTGGGGACTTTGGGCAAGTTACTGAAATGCTCCGAGTTTCAGTTTCCGTAAAGCTGGGATAATATTTCCTCTCTGGGATTAGTGTCATCGTTAACGAAGATGGGCCCATGAACACCCTGGCACAGTGCCTAACCATGCGTTATGTTCCTTCTCCCCATAACCATCATATTAAAAGAGTTTTAAACTTGGGCTTTGAATGGGTAATATTTCTATTGGTGCATTAGGAGATAATGGTCAAGATTTGGCTGCTGTTAAAAGAGTTGGTTTCCTCATTCGTTTCTCCGTGTGTTGCATGCCACTTCGTGAGCTCCCTCTGAGTGGGGTGCGACTACACGCGTCGGTCCCCTGATGTCTGGCGCCTGACTGGCTTCGTGCTCTCCATTCTGCAGGGAAAGCCAGCACCAAGTCAGGTCCATCGATGGTGAGATCGAAGCCTACAAGAAGTCCATCAGGAAGGAGGAAGGAAAGAACGAGAAGCTGGCCGGCGTCCTGCACAGAGCAGAGGCGGAGGCCAGCCTAATGCAGAAGCTGACCGCCCAGTGCCTGACCAGACAGGAGGCCCTGCAGAACGAGTTCAGCACCTACCAGCTCACCTTGCAGGACGTGGAGGGCGCCCTGAGCAAGGGCCAGCAGGTGCACCACGCCCCCCGCCCCCCAAGCAGGTCGGCCATGGCTGCGCCCCTTTGGGATGTTCCACTACTCTCTGGCTCTTCTGCTCCAGGAACACACCGTAGTCATGGGGGAATCGAAGGCCGTCCACCAAGCCATCCGCAGCGAGCTGGAGCACAGGAGGAGCATGGAGGCCTCCATCGTGGAGAAGCTGCAGGAGCACACAACCTCCAACAAGATGACCAAGTACTTCAGCCAGCTCCTGCTGCGGCTGCAGAAGGAGAAGACCAGCATGGTATGCCAGCTGCCCCGCCACCCCACGGCGTGCCCAGGGCCCTCCCGCTCCAGCCCGGGCACAGGCTGGAGACCAGACCCAGTGCAGTCTGTGTGAGCAGAGGGGCCTCAGTGTGTCCACTCGGCTTTCACTGTCTCCTCGTTGTAACGGCTGTGCATTTTCATTGTAGAAAACCTGGAGGGCCGGCCCCGTGGCTCACTCGGGAGGGTGCGGCGCTGGTAGCGCCAAGGCTGCGGGTTCGGATCCTGCATAGGGATGGCTGGTGCACTCCCTGGCTGAGCGTGGTGCAGACCACACTGTGCCGAGGGTTGCAATCCCCTTACCAGTCGAAAAAAAAAAAAAAGAAAAGAAAACCTGGAAATACAGAAAGGCACAAAGAAGAAAATAAGACAGCTCTGGTCCCACCATCCAGAGACAACCTCTGTTAAAATTTTGGTATATTTCCTTCTGGAAATTTTCCTGTACACACACACATACTCATTCACATGCACATGAACACATTTGAACACATAAACACACGTGCATACATACATGTCCCAGTGCATGCACATGAGCAAACACATGCAAACACATACACGCTCACCCATGTGCAAATACACACACACATACATACTCAAAGATGCACACACTCAAACTCCCGCAAACACCGTGCATACATACATGTCCCAGTGCATGCACATGAGCAAACACATGCAAACACATACACGCTCACCCGTGTGCAAATACACACACACATACATACTCAAAGATGCACACACTCAAACTCCCGCAAACACCACACAAACGCACACATACCCTTAAACATATTGGGCTCTTATTATATATCAGTTTTTAGGTCCATTGTAATCCATTTTTTATTGATTTTATTGAGTTCTGATGCAGAGAGAAAGGTGCAGACAGTGAGTGTAGTAGCAATGAACTTTTCACTCCTTTAGTTTTTCATTTTACTTTATTGACCACATTCAACATAACTTTCCCATGCCATTAAATATTCTTTGAAAACCTCAAATTTCATTTATATATGACATGTCATCATATGAATACACATATGTTATTTAACAAGTCTCTTGTTAGACATTTCAGGCTGTTTCTAGATTTAAAATATTATATATATAGCTCAGCCCCAAACATCCTTATTCCTAAATCTTTCTCCACATTCTGAGGATAAATTGCTGGGTCAAAGGGTCTGGGCATTTTAAATGGATCACCAAGCTGCTGAGAGCTCTCTCTTGCCAGCCACCACCCGAAGGCTGGTTTGTCCTGGGGGCTGTGAGGTGTGCCATTGACCTCCATGGCACGGGACCCCCCAAAGGCCACCACAGCCTTCACCTGGCGGAAGGCACACCCCAGCAGAGGGCCTGCCTTACAGCCCCGCTTCAGTCTGAGGAGGAGAGGCGAGTCCTGTCCAACCTTCCAGATTCCCCATCACAAACATGTTGGCAGCAGCTGCATACGTATATCTCTTTCTTTTCCAGCCCCACCAGAAGGTTCCCCCTGTGTGGCTCCAGCCCAGGTTCTTTCATCTTGTTTTGCCCTTCTGAGGGGTGGGAGATGAGGGGGAGCAGGGGGCCCCTCCAGGCCTGACGCCTGGGTGGTTAACAGCATGAGTCGCACTCCTGTGTGATCCTGGGCCTCAGGCCTGGGGACTCAGCTGTCTTACCTGTTAGTAGACACCTGCAGATGTCCGAAAATTGCATCTGATCCTCCGTGGAAGTGCCAGCTGAGCGCCTGGGGAGGGCCACAGGAAGTGCTCCCTAAATGTCAGCCATCACCATTGTTGTCATGATGGCTGCTGGCCAGGAGTGGGCCCAGCTGAGCCAAAACTGACCCGCCACAAGGCTGGTGGGACTCACCGGCTCTGGGGCAGGCGGGGCGGCTGTCTAACTAGCTGGCAGCCTCGCCCCCCAGACATCCTGGGAGGAGGGCAACTCTCTCCTGGTCTGACTGCACCAAGGACATAGAGGAGACAGGGCTGGAATCAGCCAACCATGTGGGCCAGCTGGATCTCTGGGGGAGTTCTGACTGTCCTTTCCCTGGGAGGTGGGGGCCAGACCACCAGGCAGTAAACTCAGGTGGCCTGGGGGTGTGCAGGGGAAGCTAAGGAGTATGAGGGGTGTGAAGTAGCCTGCCCAGCCCTGCTGCAGCACAGCCGAGGCCCGTCCCTGGGTCCCCAGGTCCCCAGGTCCCCAGGTCCCCAGCCCTTCCTGGGCAGCTGCAAGTACTACCAGTGGTGTCCAGCAGAGGGCAGTAAAGAGTCTCGGCCCAACAAATTAATCTATTGACGCTGTTTTTCCAGCACAGGCCAGTGGAGCTCTTGAAAAGGAGATGGTTTTTTTCTTTGAACTGCTCTAAAGCCCCTAGGGCTGGGTCCAGGCAGGGCAGGGGGCATATCTGGACAGAGGAGCAGAAAGTGGATGGATGGGATCATCCGTCTGGAGCTGGGGTCTGGAGGGAGGTGGGCAGGCGTCAACCGTGGGGTGTAGGCAGTTGATTCAGGGACAGTCCTGGGAGGAAGCCAGGGTGGTCTCCACAAAGAGAGCAAACAGCCCAGGAGCAGAGCTGGGGGAGGCAGGCGTGTTCTGGCTGGCTCGGCTGCTGACAGTGGCCATCGGTGAGCTGGAGGCTAAAAGGGGTTTAGGAACAGGAGCCCCCCAGGGTGGCGCATGCTGGAGGAAAGTGAGGCAGGGGCCCTGGTGGAGACCCAGATCTCAGGATGATCTTGGCAGAGAAGGAGATGGGCCGCGGAGCCCAGAGGGGGCTGGTGGTGTGGCTGATGTTGCCTCGACCCGAGCGCTGGAAGCTTCTGCTCCAGGTGGACAGGGTCTGGGTTACAAGTAGGAACGCTGGGCATCCTGGGAAGTCACCCACAATGGCTGTCCAGAGAGTGAGTGTGAGGCACAGAGCCAGCAGGTGTCGCAGGAGGAGGAGGGGGCCAGCAGGTGTCACGGAAGGAGGACAGAGCCAGCAGGTGTCGCGGGAGGTGGAGCCGGAACGGCCCCAAGGAGCACTGGGGTTGGCAGGAGCGGACGGGCAGCCAGCACAAGGGGCTGGGTGTAGAGTCAGCACAGACAAGAGCCGAGGCCACCCAGCAGGGTCGCACCCAGGCAAGAGGACCCCACCCCGGCTGCCAGCCTCTCCCCGTTCCCAAGCAAGTCTGGCTGCATCATTGCGACTGAGGGTGCTGGCTGCCTCGATTCCTAATCCCCACAAATATCTACACAGTAAACCCTCTGTTGCGGGAAGGGATCCAAGTGAATCTCTTCTGCCACCAAAAGGGCCCAAAGAGGAGGCAGGGAGGGGCCAGTGTGACCTGCAGGACAGCAGGAGGGCCCCGAGGAGCCCCAGCCGGCCCTACCACTGGTACTCCAGCCCCCAGGAGCCAAGGTCGGCCGCGAGCCCCAGAGGTCACAAGGCTTGAACTGGGTGGCCGTTTACACTCCGCAGTAGGATCTTTCCTTTCCAGGACTGTGTCCAGCTTTTCAGTAAAATGTAATGACATTTGTCCCATTGAATACCAATTAGAAGCCATTGTTAAGTGTTCTCCACAGCACTGTTTAGAACAGGACCATTTATTTATAATAGACTGCACGCTCGCAGAGGGCAGGAATCTAGGTTTCCTTCACTGATGCCAGAGCAGCAACCGGGCGCTCAGTCAGTGATTGTTCAATGAAGGAACGAGTGTCTGACACGTCTGACCTGCGTCACACACTGTTACAAATACATGGAGTATTGTACAGCCGTTAAAAATCATGTGACATAAGAATACGTGACACGATTTACCATGTTGAAAAGCAGGTCACAACCCAGTAGGTAGAGCGCGACCCTATTTCTGTGTTTGGGGGCAGGTGGGGGGTATATATAAAAGACTGGAAGGAAGGATATTCCAGACGGTGATGGTGGCCAACCTTGTAGCAGAATTACGGGTGATTAAACTCTCTCTCCTGCATCCTCATCTCTATTTTCATGTTTCCCACAATGTATGCTACTGTCTGTTTCATAAGAAAAACAAATAATGTTGTCTTTCTTTTTTTGTAACGACCCTATTTCTGTGTTTGGGGGCAGGTGGGGGGTATATATAAAAGACTGGAAGGAAGGATATTCCAGACGGTGACGGTGGCCAACCTTGTAGCAGAATTACGGGTGATTAAACTCTCTCTCCTGCATCCTCATCTCTATTTTCATGTTTCCAACAATGTATGCTACTGTCTGTTTCATAAGAAAAACAAATAATGTTGTCTTTCTTTTTTTGTAAGAAGTCACCATCTGGGTTCCAACAAGGTCCTTGAGACGGAGAGGAAACCAGCGTCCCCCACCCTCCTGATTGTGTGTTTGGGATTTGCCAGACAAACATCCAGACAGCCAAGGGCATGGTAGACTGGCGAGCTCGTTCGGAGCCTCCTGGGGGGAAAAAACGTTCACACGTGTTTCCTTCCACTAACTCAGGTGACACATCTTTCCAAAATTGACGGCGACATTGCTCAGACCACCCTGGATATCACCAACACCAGCTGCAGACGGGACATGCATCAGAAGACGCTCGCCGAGCTGGACAAGGAGGTGGAGAAGGTTAATGAGCTCATCAGCAGCAGCAGGAACGAGCTGGCCCGGCGCAGCACCCTGATCGAGCGGAAGCAGGGCTTCCTCAACCTCCTCACCAAGCAGCTGGAGCACATGGTTTCCGAGATGGGGGTGAGGCCCACGTGGGGAGAGGCTCCCTCTGCATGATCTCTGTGTCTGGTGGAGCAGAGGCCCTTCCAGGACCTCCTGTGTTTAGAAATGAACTCACAGAACAGAAAGTGGTTTCTTTCTTTCCCTACCCGTTGTACCAGCAAAATGGCCTGCGTGCGGGAGGCTCTAAGTCAGGGGACGGCAAACACTCTTTCCGCAAAGGGCCAGATAGCAAAGATTTTAGGCTTTGCAGGCCAGATGGGCTCTGTCCCAGCTACCCAGTTCTGCCCATCAGCAATACCTAAAGGACTGGGAGCGGCTGTGTTCAATAAGACATTACTTATGACCACAGGCCATACAGAGACAGGTGGTCAGCTAGACTTGACCTGATGGCCGCTGCAGTAGGCAAAGTGGTCTAATGAGTTGAGGGTTGCATCTTGTATGTTATGCAGGCACCTGTAACCTAAGGACTCCGTCATAGAACTCAAGCTCCTGAGGAAGATGGGCAGCTGGGGGGCGTTCTTAGGTGGCCCCAAACACTGGAGAGCCCCCTTTTTTGCTGCCAAAGCCACAAACCCAAATGGATTCTAAGGGAGTAAAGTCTCTGAGCCTTGACAGTCTGCTGTTAACAGGCAACTTTCAAAGCCCTTTTGGGGAACAGAGGCCCAGCCCACCCTGCTGGTACACCCACAAGGCTCTAGCACGGGGCCACCCCACCAGCAACAGGGCTCCCAGGGCAGGGAAGGCTGGAGGGTGGCTCCAGAGCCCATGACACCCGTATTTCCTGCAGCAGGGTCCTTGGCATGTGGCCTGGGCCCTTCCAAGAGCTAACTGGAGCCCCTCAAAGTAAATGCCTCCCAATCACACAGCTTCATGACCTCAGGGGTCCAGGCCCTCTGCAGCCTACCCAGAACACAAGGGCTTATTTTGCTTTTGGATGGATATCCCTTTCAGGGGGAAGAAGTTGGACCCCTCGAGCTCGAAATCAAAAGGCTGACCAAGCTGATCGAAGAGCACAGCAGCAGCATTACCCAGGCCCAGCTGACCTGGCTCCGCCTGCAGCAGGAGATGGTCAAGGCCGCACAGGAGCGCGAGGAGCAGCTGGTCTCCGTGAACATGCTCAGGAAGGAGATCCACATCCTGGAGCAGAAGAAACTGCGGGTAGAAAGTGAGTGCCGCTGCGCGCCGGGGCCCCAGACGAGCTGCAGGCTCCCGCAGCTGCAGGGGACGGAGTGGGACCTTTCCGGGGAGGGGATTCCATGCCATGCGCCAGGGCACATGCTCCATTTCCATGCACCTCAAAGGCAAACAGCAAAAACGCTGATGTCACACATTCGGCAAATGTGAGCCGTCACCCTGCCCCGCCTCCCTGTTTGCAACGACTGTGGAAGGGCAGAGAAGCCCTGGAGCGTCCAAGGGTAAAGGTGGCAGGAAGAGTGGAAGGAACTAGGAAACGGGACTGAGGAGGGGCCGCCCATCGGTGGACAAAAAACGTACATCTAGTGTCAAGAACGTCCACCCTCTGCCCCTGAGCTTGGCTGGGTGGGGTGGCGGGCAAAGGGCCACCTCCCGGAGACTCAGTGTCTGAGCTCCAGCTGCGTCCCACCGTCCAAGGAACCTCACGTGTCCTTGGGGGAGGGCAGCCTGTTCCTCATCATTACCCCCCACCCACACCTACCGGTTGTCCCCACATGGGGGTCCTTTCTGTTCCCTCGAATGACCAGGCTTCGCAAACTTAGCGGCCTGGCAGGGATGTCATTTGGTTTGAGGTGCCAGGAAGGACAACGGGGAGCTATGGGGAAAAACAAAGCCTGGCTCCTCCTTCGGGGTGTCGCTGCCACGTGGGCGACGACCTCATCCTCCAGAGCCTTCCTCCTCCGCCCACCCCGCATCTCTGTCTGTGCCGCAGGCAAGATCGACCAGGAGAAGAAGGAGCAGAAGGAGACTGAACGCCACATGAAGGACCTGGACAACGACCTGAGGAAGCTCAACGTGCTGATGAGCAAAAACCGCTGCAGCTCGGAGCAGCTGCAGCAGGACAACCTGGTGACCGAGAACGAGTTCGTGCGCTCGCTTAAGGTCAGGCGACCCCGCCCCCCGCCACCCACGGCACACGTGTCCTCGATGGGGGTGGTTCGCCCCAGGACATAACTCCCATGCTCCCCTCCAGTCGATGATGGGACTTGGCAGGCGGCGACCCCAGCGTCCACCAACCTGCAGCTCCCATCCCACCCCACCCCCGCTCCTCAGGCCTCTGAGAGGGAGACCATGGAGATGCAGGAGAGGCTGGACCAGCTCACCGAGGACAAGGCGGCCATCCTGAGCAACCTGGTGGAAGCAGAGTGAGTCCCGCCCCGTGTTCTGAATGTCACCGCCCCTGCAGAGCATCTGTGCGTGTGCCCACTGTTCGTCTAAGAGAGCCCCCCGGGCGGTGGTTCTGGAACCCACCCTGGCAGGTCAGAAGAACCACCGAAAGCCTCAGCAGAGTTCTGGCCTGCCACCCTCGGTGACAGCTTTCGAGCCAAACCAGTGATTGCTGGAAATTCAGTGGCTTCCTCTGGGATAAACTTTTTATTTTTTTATTTTTATTTATTTATTTATTTATTTTTATTTTTTTAAAGATGACCGGTAAGGGGATCTCAGCCCTTGACTTGGTGTTGTCTGCACCACGCTCAGCCAGTGAGCGAACCGGCCATCCCTATATAGGGATCCGAACACGTGGCCTTGGTGTCATCAGCACCGCACTCTCCCGAGTGAGCCACGGGCCGGCCTAAACTTTTTAAAATATACATTATTTTGTGGTGTCTGATGATAAAAGTAACACACACCCAACTGTAAGCATTTGAAACTATAACAGCACGTGCAGCGCAGACAGGGAAGATCACGTATAATTCCAGCTCTTCTTTTACCAGAACACCACGAGATTTCTTTCTTGTGTTGTTTTGTTTTCAACAAAAATGGCGTTGTCCTATACGCCGTCCTTTGGAGCATGCAGATATTTTTGTGGCTGTCTCTCCACATCGATGCATGTTGATCTAGTCCTGCGACTGGGATGTCGTGGAGCAGGCACCCTGTGGATGCCCCACAATCTACTTAACGGGTTCTGGGGGGCAATGGATAGCAAAGGGGTAATCTGTTTCCTGTAGTTTGATAGAGTCCGTGCATAAAGCCGTCTGCGACCAGTGCTTTTGCAGGGGCATGTGTCTTTACTGACATTTTAATAGCTTTTAGACCATTGGCCTGTTCAGGCTTGTTACTTCTTCTTAGGCAACTTCTATCAATTGTATTTACTTTCTCTGCTCCTAAAGTTATATATTTGTGTTCTTTCCTCCCCTCTCAATCTCTCTCCCTCTTTCTCTCAATTTCTCTCTCTGTCTCTCTGTCTCTCTCTGTCTCTCTCTCTCTGTCCCTGTCTCTCTGTCTGTCTCTCTCTCTCTCTCTGTCCCTGTCTCTCTGTCTCTCTCTCTCTCTCTCTCTGTCTCTCTCTGTCTCTCTCTCTCTGTCCCTGTCTCTCTGTCTCTCTCTCTCTCTCTCTCTGTCTCTCTCTGTCTCTCTCTCTCTGTCCCTGTCTCTCTGTCTCTCTCTCTCTCTCTCTCTGTCTCTCTCTGTCTCTCTCTCTCTGTCCCTGTCTCTCTGTCTCTCTCTCTCTCTCTCTCTGTCTCTCTCTGTCTCTCTCTCTCTCCCCCCCTCCCTGTTTGCCAGAGGTTTGTCTATTTCAAGGGTTGGTAGACTTTTTCTGTAAGCAGCCAGATAGTAAACATTTTTGGCTTTGTGAGGCTTACGGTATCAGCCACAAACACTCTTCCATCATACCTCAAAATCTAGGTGAAGCCTTAGAGCGCCAGCTCACCGAAGCATCAGAAGAAAACTCCTAATTTCTCTGGTTCTTACACTGTCTCTTCCACCTCTAAAGACATCAGATCATGCTTTGGGAGAAAAAAATCCAGCTGGCAAAAGAGATGCGCTACTCGGTGGATTCCGAGACTGGCCAGACAGAGATCCGAGCCATGAAGGCCGAGATCCACAGAATGAAGGTGAGTGGAGCCGAGGGGCTCAGGCAGGGCCTGGTGGGCTCCCCCGGCCCCTGTAGCAACTGCACGGGCCACCCTGGCCAGGGGCTAGGGATGAGTTTCCCCGGGGAGGGCCCCGCTCCTGCACAGCGACCTGCACTCCAACCAAGCACAGGCTGAATGCACCGTTCCCATGACCTACCTCTCACCTCAGGGTCTGTCCAACTTTCATTCATTCAACCTCACAGAAATAATCACAGAACAACACAGGACACACGGCCATAGGCCTATTATTTCACAAAATGCTATTTTATCCTTGCTCCGTGCAATCAAGGCATTCCGATATTTTTAAGTGCTGGGGCAACCCCCCAAACTTCATGACCCACTAATGAGATGCATCCCACTGTGGGACAAAAAGAGGCTCACACGATGGAAGGGTTCAGAGAGCACACCCATCTTGTCCCTCACGGCCACGCCTTCTCTCCACAGTTGCATTTAGCTAGGTTTTGTTCCCTTTTAAAAGGCTGGTAATTAACTCACAAATGATCATTGAGCCAAACGTTCAGGGCCTTAAGAGTTAAAATAAGAGCAGTTAATAAAAATAACCCTGACATCATTTTTACAATGCACTTTAAATAAAAATTGCCCTGGCTGTTGAGTTATTTTTCAGATCAAATGTATACCCTGCTGGTAAAGTTTTTTTTAAATACTCCATTTAATTGTCTTTTCAAACCACAGAAGCCACGTATGTCTGCTGCAGCTAGCCAAGCTCCCCAGCACAGGGGGAACAAAGAGAAAGTGCAGGACGTTCCTCCCCCGTCCCTGCCTCCCCCGCTGCCCCTCCTCCATCAGGGCAACTGTGTCACCCTGCACAGGGCGGTGACCCTCACCCTTCTCGGCTCTTCCACAAACACACACTGACAGGGCTTGCCTTTCTCCGTCCTTCTTAAAATTTTCCCTTCACGAAAATTATGTGCGTGTGCATGTGTGTGTGTGTATCTGCAACTCGTTTTTTTTAAAAGATGACCAGTAAGGGGATCTTAACCCTTGACTTGCTGTTGTCAGCACTGCACTCTCCCAAGTGAGCCACTGGCCGGCCCGTGCAACTCATATTTTTTAACAACATGGACATTTAACAGTTACAGAATATACTATGGATATATCACAGTTCATTCCAACAGTTCCAGGTTGATGAAAATTCAGATTGTTTCCACTTTGTTGTTTTGTCACTATGAACAATGTGTATTAGTTGGGGTTCTCCAGAGAAACAGAACCAAGAGATAAGGGGAGAGAGAGAGAGAGAGAGAGATTGAGACTGATTATGGGAAATGGCTCGTGTCATTGTGGAGGCCAGGAAGTCCTGCCATTTGCCATCTGCCAGCTGGAGACCCAGGAGAGCTAGTGATGTAATTCAGTCCAGGTCCAAAGACCTGAGAAGGGAGCCAGTCCAATGTCCCAGCTCAAGAACAGAGAGCACATTTGCTCTTCCTCCACCTTTCTGTTGTATTTGAGCCCTCAAAAGATTGACGATGCCCACCTTCACCAGTGAGGGCAGATCTTCTTTACTCAGTTTACCGATCCAAATGCTGATCTCTTTTGGAAACACCCTCACAGACACACGCAGAAATGATGTTTTACCAGCTCTCTGGGCATCCCGTAGCCCAGTCAAGCTGATCCATAAAATTAATCACCACACAATGTTACAATAATATCCTGGGATGTTACTGTAACAGAACCTTACTGGTTCTTTTCTTTGGAACCAGGGTTGACAGATTACGCTTCCAAGCAGTGGGGACAGTCTTCGGAACCAGGGTTGACAGATTACGCTTCCAAGCAGTGGGGACAGTGACTATGTCCCTACCCCCTCAACAGTTCTGGGTGTTATCAGTCTATCAGTCTTTTATTTTTTTTATTGAGGTATTTAAATTGTGTAAAAGTTCACACTTTGGGGCATGTAGCCCTAGGAGTTTTGACAAAGACATACAATCACGGAACCACCACCGTATCATGACATAAGACACTCCCATCAACCTCAGTTTCCCTCGTTCCCCTCTGCGGTCAGCCCCCCACACCCCAGCACTGACAACCAGCAGCCTGTTTCCACTCCTGTAGTTTTGGCTTTTCCAGAATGTCATATAAATGGACCAATCAGGGTGAAGCATCTTGAGTCTGGCTTTTCTCACTTAGCAGATACATTTGAGATTCTTCTGTGTGCGTGAAGTCCGGCCACTCGATCTGTTCTTCTGGGCATCTTTTTGGTAGCACATCGAAGAAATCTTTGCCTAGCCCAAGGTCATGAAGATTTCCTCTTGTGTTTTCTTACAGAAGCTTCATACGTTTAGGTTTTACATGTAGGTCCGTGATGTATTTTGAGTTCATTTTTATAAATGGTGCAAGCTGTGAATCAGGGTTAATTTTTTTTGCATTTGGGTGTCGCATGGTCTTAGCCCACCTTTTGGAAAGTCTGCCCTTACAATTGCACCAAAAAAAATGAAATACTTTTTTATACATCTGACAAAACGTGTGTAAGACCTGGATGCCAGAAACTAAAAACACCATCGTGGGAAATCAAGCAAGACCTGAATAAATGGAGAGATATACCATGTATGTGGGTTGGAAAACTCAGTACTGTTCAGATGTCAATTCCAGTCCTTGTGGAAATCGGCTGACCACATTCAAAGTCTGTTTCTGGGTCTCTGTTCTGGTCCAGTTATCTGTGTGTCTGTCCTTCTACCAACACCCCCAGTCTTGATTTCTGTAGCTCTATACTTAAGAGATGCCCCAGCTTCATTCTTCTTTTTCAAAATTGTTTTGTCTACTCTCTTTTGCCTTTAAGAATCAAAAACACCTGTTGGGATCATAATTGGGATTGCATTGACTCTATAGATCCGTTTCGGAAGAACTGACATCTGAACAGTATTGAGTTTTTCAATTCACATACACGGTATATCTTTCCGTTTATTTAGGTCTTGCTTGATTTCCCACAATGGTTCTTTTAGTTTTTGGCATCCAGGTCTTACATAAGTTTTGTCAGATTTATACCAAAGTATTTCATGTTTTTTGCTGCAATTGGAAATGGTACTTTTTAAAAATTTCAATTTCCAATTGTTTGCTGTTAGTATATAGAAATATAGTTGACTTTTACCTACTGACTTGCTTCTGTGGCTTCGCTAGAGGCACTCACCTTTTGTTTTCAGTGTTTGACGGTCCGCTGTATGAAAAGGGGCACCTCACCGTTCTGCAGTTGCCTTGCTGTTCTACCAGAGGGCGGTTGGCAAGCGTATGTGTGTGCTCGTGCGTGTGTCTGTGCTCGTGCATGTGTGTGCTCGTGCATGTGTCTGTGCTCGTGCATGTGTGTGTACTCGTGCGTGTGTGTGTACTCGTGCATGTGTGTGTGCCCGTGCGTGTGTGTGCCCGTGCGTGTGTGTGTGCGCCCGTGCGTGTGTCTGTGCTTGTGCACGTGTGTGTGCTCGTGCGTGTGTGTGCCCGTGTGCGTGTGTGTGTGCCCGTGTGCACGTGTGTGTGCCCGTGCGTGTGTGTACCTGTGCATGTGTGTGTGCCCGTGCTTGCGTGTGTGCCCGTGCGTGTGTGTGTGCTCGTGTGTGTATGCTCGTGTGTGTGTGCCCCTGCATGTGTGTGTGCCCGTGCACGTGTGTGTGTGCCTGTGCGTGTGTGTGCCCGTGCGTGTGTGTGCCCGTGCGCGTGTGTGTGCCCATGCACGTGTGTGTGCTCGTGCGTGGGTGTGTGCTCGTGCATGTGTGTGACGTGGTGTGGGTCTTTGCATCTCCTCATCTGGGGTTTGTTTGTTCGTATCTTTGGCTGACTTTCCTATTGGGCTTTTTTCTTACTTCTTAACAATTTTTAGGAGTTCTTTGTATATTGGGGTTATTAACCCCTGTCTTTAATTCTATTTTAAAATAGTATCTCTAGTCTGTTTTTCACCTTAACGCTCTGTTGAGGGTGGTTTTTACCGCACAGAATATTTTTACTGTTCCTGGTCTATGACGTATCTGTCTTTTTCTCGATGGCTTCTGAGTTTCCTGTGTTGCATAAGAAGGTCACCCCAGCTTGGAATCACATACACATATTCCTAAATTCTTCTCCGTTGTTCACACATACTTAGGTCTTGAATCCGCCTGGAGTGTATTTTTGGTTACGGTGTGAAATAAGACTTCGTCTCTGTTTTCTCTCATCTGGGGAGTCAGTCGTGCCAACATCTTACATTAAATAGTCCATGTTTCCCCAGTGAATTGACGGCCACGTCGGTGGCACGGAGGCTCCCGGCTTTTCCCACCCTTGCCCGTGCTGTCCTCTCTCTGTGCTTTCTGTGGCCGCGAGCACCTGGTGACTGGCACTTTATGGTACATTTTTAAACCTGGATAGGCTGGGTTTCACGCCACCATTCTTAACTCGGGGATCCTTGCCTGTCTTTCTTTTTAAATAAGCTTTATTGAGGGCCGGCCCGGTGGCGCACTGGAGAGTGCGCCGCTTGGGAGCATGGCGGCGCTCCCGCCGAGGGTTCGGATCCCATGTGGAGACCGGTTCCTGCTCACTGGCTGAGCGCGGTGCGGGCGCAACACTGAGGGTTGCGATTCCCTTGCTGGTCCCGGTACGGCGCGACACCGAGGGTTGCGATCCCGTTACCGGTCAGTAAAAAAGACAAAAAAAAGGAAAAAAAAAATAAGCTTTATTGAGGCACTACTTACACATGATAAAATGTGCCCACTGACTGTACAGCTGGATGGGTCTGAGCACGTGCACATCTGTGAACCAGCACAGTCAAGACAGGTAACACTTCTGCGACCCCAGGCAGTTCCCTTGTGCCCCTGCAGTCGATCCTCACATCACAGCCAATCTCCAGCCCCAAGTCTGAGACCCCCCACCAGCCTCCCCTAATGTTACCATCTTAAAACACCACGGTGCAGCTGTCGCGACTAGGATGTTCACTTCAGTGCAATGTCAAAACTGCAGACTCTAATCAGATTCACCAGTTTTCTCAATAACCTCCTTTTCCTATCCTGGGATCTGGTCCAGGGTTGATTCAGTTCTCTGTCTCCCTAATCTCCTCTGGTTTCAGTCCCTCCCTGTTCGCCTGTGTATTCTTTATGTGAACATTAATGTCACCCAATGACCGGACGAGACCTCCAGGCTCCTTGCTCCTTCTGGCGGTGTCTCCCCTTTGTTTCCCGTCGGCTCAGGGGACGTGCAGCGGGAGGAGGTGGCAGGCAGGCCCCACGCTCTCTGTGCGCCCGGTGTCCCGACCCCCTCCCAGCCCCTCTGTCCTGTGCCCCCAGATCAAGCACGGGCAGCTGCTGAAGCAGCAGGAGAAGATGATCCGTGACATGGAGCTGGCCGTCTCCCGCAGAGAGACCATCGTGGCCCAGGCCGAGGGTCAGGGCAAGACGAACAAGAAGGTGCTCACGCGGACCGGCTTCCACCAGAAGCAGACCGAGCTGCGACGGAAGATCAGGGACACTCACCAGGTAGGGAGCAGCGAGAAAAGGAAGGAGGGAGCTTTAGGTGACCCGCTCTACTTCCGTGACCCGAGGACCATTCCAGGAAGGTGCTCCTGCTCAGCAGGCTCAGCGGCTCCTGTTGGGGACGGTGTCACGCGGGTACATGCCAGCGTGCGTCTCGCTTCCCCTGTGTGTGTGGTCAGATGCGTCACACCCCCCCACACACACACACACTGGCTGGCCCCAGGCATGATCGCTGTCTCCTTCTATCCCGCCCCATCACGGAGCCTTCTCTGCGGATTGTTCCTGTGAGCTGCAACCAGTGCTGCCGGGTCGTGGCTGTGACACAGGGAGGAAGCCAGCCTTGGGAACATGACAAACCAACCTGCTGCATCCCCTGGGCCTCGACCACCTCGTCTGTGCATGGGTCGTGGCGGGTGGAGGTGCAGTAGTGGCCAGAGTGGCCTGGTGCTCAGCAGCTGCGTCCCGAGGACCGCTGACCTTCTGCTGCCACAGGGCCTGTCTCTGGGAGTTTGTCTCGGGTTTAGCAGAAAATCCACACCAGGGGAGTGCGGCTTAGGGAGGGGGCGCCCATATTTCAGTCCCTTTCTGCTTCGCAGCACAGCACCAGGGAAGCATGGGGCATGGTGGAGGTGTGAGCCCCCGTGCTGAGGACCCCGAGTGGGTGCTGGGGACAGGCTGGTGGGAATGTGGCGGATGCCCACGAGAGCCCATGTCCCCTCTACCAGGTCACATGACCGAGCGTGTGGAGCACAACCTGCCCTGGGAGGGGACAAGCCAGTACTGCCCCAGTGCCCATTCCCTCAGCTCACACTTAAGCCTCCTCTGACTGGCTGCGTGGCCTTGGGTGCAGGTGGAACCTTCCCAGGCCTGCATTTCTGCACCTGTCAGGTGGACATAAGAGCAGTGACCCCCTCCCAGGTAGGCGAAGGGCTCACCGAGTCAGCAACTGCAGTCCTGCATGCTGAGGGAGCTCAGGAACCGCTGGGCATGTGGCCTCGGGGCCCCACTGTTTCCTTCATGAGTGGAGCATGTCATCTGACCTCTCTGTGCCTCAGTTTGCTGACCTGTGAAATGGGTACCCAGCTCATGGAGTCATCCTGTATAGGAAAAGGTTAGCCCCAATGACAGACGCGACCGGACTGCTCATTTGGAAGTTGCTGGAAGTTACTGCAAAGAGTAGCAGAGTGGCCTTTCCTCAGTCCTTGTCTGCCACATTGGCCACTCCTGATGTCCGTTCCTTCCTCAGCTTCCTGTCCGGTCTGTGACCTCTCCTCACCACCCTGGGCACCACCTCAGTCCCCCACCAGGACCCCCTCTCCTGCCTCTCACTCCCTGCCCATTCCAAGCAGCACCCCGGCCCCCCATGCCATGCCCAACACAACCTCCACCTCTTATGCATCCCTGCCAGTCCCACCCCAAAGTCCCTCCATGTCCTGGTCCCACCCTGAGAGTCACTGTAGCCTCTTCATCCTCCCTGGGCCCCGGAAGCTGCCAAACACGACCAGATTTTCCTCCCCCTTAACTGTGCCACTCCCCCAATGGCAGAACCAACACCACGCTGAGGGCACCTGGCTGTCCATCCCGCTCTCTGCTGCAGATGCCTCTTGAGGTGCCGTGTCCTCCTGGGACCCTGAAGAGGGGTCCCCACCCACCACGGCCACCCCACTCAGTCCCTCCTTTCTCAGGCTCCCAGCCCAGCTCTCCACCCCACACAGCCTTGGCCCTGCCCTTGGCCCGTGGCTGCTCAGCTATCCCTCGCCCCACTGCAGGAGGAGGTCCCCAAAACTGCTCAGGACCCTGTGTCTTTCTCTAAGCCACGCCTGCCTTCGAGAGCAGCCTGCACGTGGGCTCAGCCAGGCCCTGGCGTCTCGCTGGTGCTCACCTCTCCGGGAAATAGGTGCCTGAGGGGCAGCGACTACCCCATTCCTCTTTGAGGATACTTCCCGGATCGGTGTCTAGAAACTGCCTGATGGGTCCTCACAGCCTGACTCTCCTCTGTCTGCTAAGTAACCAGGATGCAGGGGCCCAGCACGGTCCTGTTTATCTCCTAGGCCACTGAGGAGTGCACCAAAACCGTCTTGGAGCTGGAAGAAACTCAGAAACTTTTGAGCAACTCCCTCCTAGAGAAGCAGGAAAAACTGTCAGTGATGCAATCGGACTCTGATGTGCTTGAAGCTGACCTCGAGCGGCTCGTGGCCCTCAAGCGACAGGTAAGCGAGTCCCAGGAAGATGCCAGGGCTAAGGGCACCTTGGCAGCAGAGTGCACCACTCCAAGAAGTCCTGTGTCTCCAGATAAGGACTCTCCTGATCTGGTTAGGCCCAGCCACCGTCTGCCACTCCCATTTTGTGGCTCTTTGATTCACTCATTCAACAAAATATTGATTACATATCAGTTATGGGCTGGACACTATTCTGGATGTTACAACTACAGAATAGAACAAAACAAACAAAAATCCTTGTCCTCCTGGGGGTTACATTCTAGGGGTGGGAGGACAGATTAAAAATGACATAAGTAAGAAGATCTGGTGTGTTAGATGGTGATAAACACTTTGGAGAAAAATAAAGCAGAGAAGGAGCATGAGGCGCATTGGGGCAGAGTGCAGGATTGAAATTTTGAGTAGGGTGGTCCAGGAAGGCCACACGGAGAAGATGACATTTGAGTGAAAACTTAGAGAAGGCGAGGGAGAGAGGCACCCAAGGCAAAGCCGACAGCCCAGCAAAGGCAGGGGACCCTGAAAGGGCCAGTGGGGCAGGACTGGGGCAGGGGGAGTTGAGGGTGGAGAGGGCCCCGCCTGGATGGTGTGCAGCCTCTGTGGGGCATGATCGTGACTTTGGGTGGGGGGGGGTGGAAAGACAGTGGGGGGCTTTGGGGCTGTGGATTGACTTGATTTCAGCAGGATCCCTTACTCTGGCGTTGAGTGTGGGATGGGAGGGTCAAGGATGGACGCAGGAGTCTGTTGGTGGCTATCACAGTACTTCAGGGAGATGGTGGCACACGGACCAGGGTGGCCACTGTGAGGCTGGTGAGAAGCCGCCAGATTCTGCATACAATTTGAAAGTCTCCCAGTGGGATTTCCTGCTGGGTTGGATGCCTCATGAGCAGAGAGAGGGGCCCGCTCCCCTGAGGCGGGGGCGGGTGTCCTGACACTAGGCTTGACACATGGCTGGTGTCAAAAACATCTCCTAGGCAATGGATGAATGAAGAGGCTTTAATCCAACGGGTGCCAGCCTCTTCCCTTAGATTTGGAGATGACACTTTCACAGTCGCCTCTCTTCAGGCGTAGCTCTCTTCTTGGCATTTCCTCTGAGTTTGTGTGGGGGGCTGGCGGTGTCCTCCTTTTGATGTGCAGAGCCTGACACGGGGTCTCTTTTCCCACCCAGAACCTCTCCGAGATCGTGGCCCTGCAGACACGCCTTAAGCACCTGCAGGCGGTGAAGGAGGGGCGGTACGTGTTCCTGTTCCGCTCCAAGCAGTCCCTGCTGCAGGAACGCAGGCGCCTGGACGACCGGCTGACTCTCATCAGCACCATCCTCACCCAAGTGCAGGACGAGTACCCCCAGTTCCAGGAAGCCCTGCACAAGGTCAGCCAGGCCATTGCCAACAAGTCACCAGGGTCTGCCTAGAGAGCAGCCAGGACCCCACCTTCCAAGGCTGACCCCTGGAGAAGAGATCTGGAATACTGGTTTTTATCACAGACTTAGAATCTTTGTGTGTTACTAAAAACCATGTGTACCCTCAGAATGACATTGTTGAAAAGAAATAGGCCAGCCCCGAAGGAATTTTTTTTTAGCCACTCAGCAGTTTAAACCAAGTAAAATCCCAACATCTCCGATTGCATTTCGGTGAGCCTTTGCATTTGCAAAGCCAGTACCTGCGAACACGAACCCATGCTCCCACGTGGCTTACTCCTGCACGCACTCCTCCAAACACTGTCCTGGAGTCAGTTCACAACCTTGCAGCACAGAAGAGGCCCCATGGGAAGCAGCAGCAGGACTGGCCAGCCTGGCCTTGGAGGCCGCTTCGTCCCTCAGCAACTCCACTAGGGTGCCTCCGAAAATGCATAATCCTTTCCCATGCTTTCCCCATCCCCGCCTCCCAGAAAACTCGGGTTCCTTCTCCTGCCCCCACCTCCCAGTTTGAATTCAATTCAGATTCACAACTTGCAGGAGAAAGTCAAGGGACTCAGAAATTCCAAGGGCCGCAAACCCCCTGGGCTGTGTCCATGGAGGCGGGTCATTACCACAGTGAGCGCTGGGTAAATACTAGGTGTGCACCTTCCGCAGACCCACCAATCCATTATCAACCCGGTGTTGTTCCTCCCCCACCCCTAGATTTTTGAGACCAATTACCTTGTGACTTCTCTCCAGTTTAAAGGGAAAACGTTCTACAAAATAAGTTTACTTTCAAACAGCAAAAGAATAAAAAAAAAAACTGTTTCCGAATATGGGAGTGAGACATATTTATTCCAAACCATTGCAGAAGTGCAGAAACCACAAAAAGGGTTTAAAGTTAAAGGGTGTTTAAGCTAAAGTCTTAATTGACCCCCTGCCCAGAGGCAACCATGGCCCATGTGTTGGCATATCTCCTAGGGTATTTTTTCTGCGCATACATTTTATTTGGCAACTTAAGCTTATGCTGTGTGTTCAGTTTCTGTCCCTCACGTCTAACAGTTGCTCATCCTAATACAAGCATTTTCTCATTTTATGCAAGAATTCCTCCTGAGCGTCAGCGGTTTCGTGGGTCATCACCATGTCGAAGCAGCGTCCACATTCTGGTTGGGTGCAGAGCGCGGCCGGGCAAGCTCCCGCGATGCCCTAACAGCCGCGGGGACGGGAACTGAACCCGGGACGGTGCCAGCCACCGCTACGCCCCACCCCGTGCCCCGGGAAAGGGCGGCGGCGCGGCTCGTGCCCGGCAAGCGGCTCGGTGCGCGCGCCCCTCCTGCACCTGCGGACCCCGAGGGCGCTCGGCACGCCCCGCTCTTCCCCGGCCGCCACCAGGGGGCGCAGCGCGGTGGCCAACCCTCCCCT